AAGTGTCGTCACTTTTAGGCTCCTCAAGGTTGAGTATGGAGGAAGTCTCAGGCGGGAGCCTCGTCTGTGAGTGAATCGAGAAAGGAAGTCTCAGGCGGGAGCCCCCTCCCTGTGGGGCCCGTACTTCATGCTCGAATCCGAGGCGGGTCATCCTCAAACCTGTATTTGTCAGTTTTGGGCTCCTCAGGCTTGAACATGGAGGAAGTCTCCGGCGGGAACTTTTTGCGTGAGTGTTTTGCGAGGAAGTCTCTTGCGAGGAAGTCTCTTGCGGGAACCCCCTCCCAATGGGGCCCGCACTTCATGTTGGCAATTCGAGCGGGTCATCGGAAGCTTGTACCTGTCTTCATTTTTGGGCTCCTCAAGCTTGATACTGGAGGAAGTCTCAGGCGGGAGCCTCGTCTATCAGTGAATTGCGAGGAAGTCTCAGGCGGGAACCTTCTCCCTATGAGGCCGTACTTCATGTCGGTAATCCGAGCAGGTCATCGGATACGTGTAACTGTCGTGATTTTGGGCTCTTCAGGTCTATTTCAGAAGGCGGGAGTCTCCTCGTGGCGGGAGTCTCGTCGTGAGTGAGGCGGGACCCTCGTCTGTGGGGCCCGCAGCTCCATGTTCGAATCGGAGTGAGTCTCCGGGTTGTCGTAGCTGTCGTCACTTTGGGGCTCGAGCGGGTAGCCGTCGTCATTGTTGGGTCCCCCGAAGGGGATGCGGGCTCTCGCGAGCGATTTACAGACATGGAGGCACAGATGATATTGAAAATCCCTGCGATCAAGAATTGGCTCTCGGACCCATCCTGGGGCGCGGCTGGGGCAGAATTTAGTCGTCGTCGTCGCCGTCGCCGTCGCCGTCGTCGTCGTCGTCGTCGTCGTCGTCGTCGTCGTCGTCGTCGTCAGCGTTTGCGTCGTCGCCGCCGCCGTCGTCATCGTCGTCTTCACTCTCTCCCTCCCTCCCGGTGGGGGCCTCACCAAAACTCCGACAGGCCCGAACACCTAGTAGGAGGAGGATGAGGAGGAGGAGGAGGAGGAGGAGGAGGAGGAGGAGGAGGAGGAGGAGGAGGAGGAGGAGGAGGAGGAGGACAACGACGACGACGACCACGACGACGCCGACGACGTCGGCGGCGGATGCGACGGCGGGGTCGCCGGGCCAGCCGGGGCCGGCGGTCGATCGTTTATGTTCAGACCCAGCGAGCAGGAGTTCACGTGGCAGAGCTCGGGGCCGCACGTCGTGCTCCGCTCGGGGTTCGCCCTGACGCACGCGTCCTACCTGACCTGACCTCCACGCTGTCGCAGGGTCAGATGCTGCGCAAGGGCGTCACCATCGTCTGCGCCAGGCATGAGGACGTTGGTCGCACGGGCATGTCGGACGAGCAGTGGTGGCTGCACCTCTACGTCATGTTCTCCCGCGCCACGTGCATGCGGAACATGCTGATACTGCGGCCGCCCGCGCGAGAGTTCCTGGGGCGCGGGCCGCCGGCGCCCGCCAGCGTCCCTGCGGAAAACGCTCGAGGAGTTTTCGACAGGAGAGCGGTGGGCTCAAGGGCTGAGGCGGAGCAGCTCGCGGCAGAGCTGGACTTCGTGCTGCCTCCCGCCTGAGCGCGGCTGCGACTAGCTCTGTGCCTGCGGGTTGATCGCAGCGGCGTGCTCTCGCGTTTCTGCGGCTCGCGGGGTTGTCCCAACGTGCTGGCTCGAAGGGTTGCCCTGGCGGCTCCGCGACGCAGCCATCCGTCGGATAACGCGCCCGTGCCGGCCGCGGCGGCGCCAGCGCCGAAGAAAATCGAGTTGCCCCGGCCGCGAGGCGGCGGAGGTGCGCGCGGAGAACAGGCGGGGGGAGGATAGAGGGAGAGAGAGAGAGAGAGAGAGAGAGAGAGAGAGAGAGAGAGAGAGAGAGAGAGAGAGAGAGAGAGAGAGAGAGAGGGAGAGAGGGAGAGAGAGAGAAGAGAGAGAGAGAGAGAGAGAGAGAGAGAGAGAGAGAGAGAGAGAGAGAGAGAGAGAGAGAGAGAGAGAGAGAGAGACGAGAGAGAGAGAGAGAGAGAACAATAAGAAAGAGGGATAGAAGAGAGAGAGAGAGAGAGAGAGAGGAGAGAGAGAGAAAGAGAGAGAGAGAGAGAGAGAAAGAGAGAGAGAGAAGGATCTTTAGAGAGAGAGAGAGATAACAACAAAAAGAGGAGGGTTGCGAGGAGGGTTTGGGGGGGAGGAGGAGGAGGGGGAGGAGGAATATGAGGAGGAGGAGGAGGAGGAGGAGGAGGAGGAGGAGGAGGAGGAGGAGGAGGAGGAGGAGGAGGACAAGGGGGGCGAGGAGAGGAGGAGGAGGAGGAGGAGGAGGAGGAGGAGGAAAAGGAGGAGGAGGGGGGAGGAAAAGACGAGGGAACGAGGAGCGAAGATGACGAGGAGGAGGGGCTGGCGAAACATAGGCCGATAGATGGCCTTCCGCCAGGGCGATAAGAAGAACTCGATGGGGCAAGCTAGACAGATTCGTCGTTTGGGGTCTTACCGTCGGAATAATTCTTGACGCTTCGCGTATCCCCGCCAGCCCATCCAGAAACGATCAGCAGGGGAGTTGGTGAATCAGGGGCGGCAGAACGCATGCAGTCGCGCAGCCGTCTTCGAGAACACAAGCATCACACATAGCTTCCCGCATTGACGTTTAAGATGGGAATCCGTGCAAGTTACGATTGTGTTTCGATGAGAGGTCTTCTTGGGGCTCTTTTGGGGCGTCTTGGGGCCCTCTTGGGGTTTTTTCGGGGGGTCTGGGGGCCTTCTTGGGGCTCTTGGGCGTGGTCTGGGAGGCCTCCTGGGGCCGTCTTAGGCCGCATTGATCAAAAAGGGGGGCGGCGTTAATTCTTGCCCCCCCCTGGGAGGCTCAAACATACCGTCTTGGGGCCCTCTTGGCCCGCTCTTGGAGCGCTCTTGGGCGCTCTTGGGGCCGTCTTGCGGCTCTCTTGGGCCCCTCTTGGGGCTGTCTTGGGCCATCTTGGGGCCATCTTGAGGCCTCAAGAGCCTTTCGGAGGCGAAAAAGCGAGAAGGCAAACAACATTGATGTTCCTTAGGTTTTTGAAGGATTTTGGCCTCTTGGGGGGGGCCTTGGAGGGCACTTGAAACCGTCTTGGGGTCGTCTTGAGGCCTCTTGGACGCGTGTCGGAGGCTATCTTGACCCGTCTACCGCTATCTTGGGCCATCTTGGAGGCAATCTTGGAGTCTCTGGGGCCCTCCTGGAGCGATCTTGGGCCAAGAAAGACGCTCTGACACATCGGGCCCCCCCCCCGTCCAGACGCAGGGAGGGGGGGGAGGTAAACCTTCCGAAAAGGGAAAGGGAGGGGGTTGGAAAAGGAAACGCGCTAGACCACCTGCGCCCAGAGGGCTGGTGGGATTACCTCCGGAATCATAACGCGCGTCATGCCTACTTCCGTCCCCCCCCCGATAACGTAACGCCCCCTCCCCCCCCATCAGTGCGCCCCTAGCACTGCACTGCCGCAGTGCTGTGGGCCGGTGTTGCGTCATGCCTCCTCCCTTCGCTTCTGGCTGGCACCATCGTGTGGGGTGGGTGTTGCGTTATGCCCCGTACCGTCCACCCCTCTCTCCCCCCATAGCGCCGGTTATGGCCGCGATTTTACAATGCGCTGTGCCGATATGAAAATGTATATCGTGCGCCGCATGTCGTTTGTTTTTTAATCTTATCTTTTCACGAAGCGTCCGTCCTGAATGAGTATAATCCGGGCCGCCCACAACATTATATATATATATATATATATATATATATATATATATAAAAAATAGGTGATTCAAAATTTCCGGAACCCGCTCAGATGGGATGAGTGAGGCTGTGGCGGGACGAGTTTCTGGCGGCGTCATCGCTGCCCTTCCAGTGCGTCGATCCCGCTGCATCTCCATGCAAGGCCCTCGCCCCCACCGTTTCCGTGCACGTTCTCCACCGGCCGCCGCTTTTACCATTTGGGATTTCAAGCCACGTGCAAGAAACCTGAAAACGCGAGTCCTCACCGGGCAAAGTGCTCGCCCCCCAGTGTCGGATATAGCCAGGGCCCTGGGTAAGGGGAGCCGGTTACTGATTGGGCTCCGAGCTAAAAAGCACATAATCACTACACCAGGTCTATTGTAACTTGTGTTTTTATCGGGTGGCGGCAGCTCCGGTTAGTGGAATGGGGTGGGGGGCGTCGCCCAGCACGCGTCACTAAACCAAATCCCACCTACTAAACCCAGTCCCGCCAACGCCCGACAGTGTCTTCGACGACGAGCTTGACGACAGCCTATCGCGAGGCCACGAGCCGCGTTTCCGGAGTGCTGGAAGCGGAGCCCCGGCGCGGGGGGCGGGCCCGACCTGCCGTCGGCAGGCTCTGCGGCCAGTGCCTCCGCAGATGGCCGGCTTCTCCGCTTCCTTGTGGTCCTCGAGGTTTGGAGCCGGCTGGGTTCTGAGGTGGCCTTCAGTGGTTCCGGCCAACAGGAAGGTGGGCGAGGTTCGAGATTCTGGGTTCGGGAAGATTTTTGGATTTTGTCGGCCTCCTGGGGGCGTTTTCCCCCTGGCCGCCTCGAACTCGATGCTCTTCAGAGTTCCACGGGGGGGGGGGCCCGATGATGCAAAAGAGGAGAGCCCACCCCCTGGAATCGAGCACCGCGCAATGCAGCAGCTACGCATCGCCCGCAGTGGTTACCTTGTACCATGAGCGACGCCTGACACTGGCACCGCCTGCCCACTCAGCGACAGCGCCGCATGCACCGAATGGAGTGTTCTCAGGTCCCTCCGAACCTTTTCTATCCCACCGTGTAAAGCTTCGATCCTCGACCCCCGATCCTCGATCCTCGAGCCTCCTCCGAGCTCGATCCTCCGATCCTCGATCCTCGACCCCCGATCCTCGATTTTTGATCCTCCGAGCTCGATCCTCGATCCTCGAGCTTCCTCGAGCCTCCTCCGAGCTTCGAGCCTCGATCCTCGATCCTCGACCCCCGATCCCCGGTCCCCGATCCTCGAAGCTCCTGCGAGCTCCGCATCAGGCGAGTGCCAGCTGATCTGGCTCGTGCCCTACCACCAGCGCGGCGCGGTGATCGGCGTCAGGGGCGACACGCTCGTGTCCCTGCAGGCGCAGGCGCCGCGGCGCCCATATTTCTCTCCCCCTTCTCCTCCTCCTCCTCCCTCCCTCCCTTCCCTTCCCTTCCCTTCCCTCCCTTCCCTCCCTCCCTCCCTCCTTCCCTCCCTCCCTCCCTCCCTCCCTTCTCATTCTATTCCTCCTCCTCGCCTCGCCCGCACGCACGGCACGCACGAACACGAAACCGGAACCGATTTCCCAGTAGGGGGGCTCTCCGTTCCATTTCAATCTCACCCCCTCACCTCCGACCATGTGATTTATCAGGTTTCGTGCCCCTCCCACCCCTCCAGGGAGGCCCCGCCTGAGCGAGGACAGTATCCGGAGACCATGTGGTTTATCAGCTTCAGTGCCCCTCCCACTCCTCCAGGGAGGCCCTGCCTGAGCGAGGACAGTATTCGGATACCATGTGATTTGTCAGGTTTCGTGCCCCTCCCACCCCTCCAGGGAGGCCCCGCCTGAGCGAGGACAGTATTCGGATACCATGTGATTTGTCAGGTTTCGCGCCCCTCCCACCCCTCCAGGGAGACCCCGCCTGAGCGAGGACAGTATTCGGATACCATGAGATTTATCAGGTTTCGTGCCCTTCCCACCCCTCCAGGGAGGCCCCGCCTGAGCGAGGACAGTACTCGGATACCATGTGATTTGTCAGGTTTCGTGCCCCTCCCACCCGTCCAGGGAGGCCCCGCCTGAGCGAGGACAGTATTCGGATACCATGTGATTTATGAGGTTTCGCGCCCCTCCCACCCGTCCAGGGAGGCCCCGCCTGAGCGAGGACAGTATTCGGTCACCATGTGATTTATCAGGTTTCGTGCCCCTCCCACCCCTCCTTGGAGGCCCCGCCCGAGCGAGGACAGTATTCGGATACCATGAGATTTATCAGGTGACGTGCCCCTCCCGCCCCTGCAGGGAGGCCCCGCCTAAGCGAGGACAGTATTCGGATACCATAAGATTTATCATGTTTCGTGCCCCTCCCACCCCTCCAGGGAGGCCCCGCCTGAGCGAGGACAGTATTCGGATACCATGTGATTTGTCAGGTTTCGTGCCCCTCCCACCCCTCCATGGAAGCCCCGCCTGAGCGAGGACAGTATTCGGTGTGATTTGTCAGGTTTCGTGCCCCTCCCACCCCTCCAGGGAGGCCCCGACTGAGCCCCTCCCATCCCTCCAGGGAGGCCCCGCCTGAGCGAGGAAAGTATTCGGTCACCATTTGATTTATGAGGTTTCGTGCCCCTCCCACCCGTCCAGGGAGGCCCCGCCTGAGCGAGGACAGTATCCAGAGACCATGTGATTTATGAGGTTTCGTGCCCCTCCCACCCTTCCAGGGAGGCCCGGAGAGTATTCGGATACCATGAGATTTATCAGGTTTCGTGCCCCTCCCACCCCTCCAGGGAGGCCCCGCCTGAGCGAGGACAGTATTCTGACACCATGTGATTTGTCAGGTTTCGTGCCCCTCCCACCTCTCCAGGGAGGCCCCGACTGAGCCCCTCCCACCCCTCCAGGGAGACCCCGCCTGAGCGAGGACAGTATTCGGATACCATGAGATCCGTAAGGGCTTCGCCCCATGCCGGCGGCCCCCTGTCTTGGATAATGGGAGATGCAAAAGCTAAGTCATGAGGTCTGGGCGCCGCCGTGGGACCTGGACCCTGCCGATCTGCGTGAGGGGCGCCACCGAATTTCAAACAATATTGCAAATCCTCAGTGTTTTTGGACCCTGACCCTGTCGATCCTCGTGAGGGATGCGACTGGATTTCAGAAATTTTGAGAGTCCCCTAAGTTTTCGGACCCTGACCCCGCCGATCTGCGTGAGGGGTGCCATCGATTTTCAGCAATACGGCGAATCCCATGTGTTTTTGGACCCTGACCCCGCCGATCTGCGTGAGGGGTGCCACCGAATTTCAGAAATGTAGTAAATCTCGTGTGTTTTTGGACCCTGACCCCGCCGATCTGCGTCAGGGGTGCCACCGAATTTCAGAAATGTAGCAAATCCTGCGTGTTTTTGGGCCCTGACCCCGCCGATCTGCGTGAGGGGTGCCACCGAATGTCAGAAATGTGGCAAATCCTATATGTTTCTGGACCCTGACCCCGTCGATCCGCGTGAGGGATGCCACCGAATTTCAGAAATGTTGTAAATTCCATTGTTTTTCGGACCCTGACTCCGCCGATCTGAGTGAGGGGTGCTACCGAAATTTAAACCATGTGGCAAATCCCATGTGTTTTTGGACCCTGACCCCGCCGATCTGCGTGAGGGGTGTCAATTTTTACCCACCCCAGCAATTCAGAGCACACGCTCAGGGCGTACTAAACCTGCCCGTTTGGGCCTCCCCCCCCTCGCGCGTTCCATCAACAAGGAACAGTAAGCAGCAAGAAGCAGAACTGTAACAGTGGAAACTGGAAGCTGCAACTTGTACAGGAAACTGCGAACCCTCGGCCTACAGCCTGGTGGCCCCACAAGGGGGCCAGCGGATTTATCTGGTTTCGTGCCCCTCCCACCCCTCCAGGGAGGCCCCGCCTAAGCGAGGACAGTATTCGGATACCATGAGATTTATCAGGTTCCGTGCCCCTCCCATCCCTCCATGGAGGCCCCGCCTGAGCGAGGACAGTATTCGGGTACCATGAGATTTATCAGGTTTCGTGCCCCTCCCACCCCTCCAGGGAGGCCCCGCGCGAGGACAGTATTCTGACACCATGTGAATTGTCAGGTTTCGTGCCCCTCCCGCCCCTCCAGGGAGGCCCCGCCTGAGCCCCTCCCACTCCTCCAGGGAGGCCCCGCCCGAGCGAGGACAGTATTCGGATACCATGAGATTTATCAGGTTTCGTGCCCCTCCCACCCCTCCACTCCGCCCACGCCGTGACGCCCCTGAAGCGCAAACGCGCCTTGGACGACGCAGCCTCGGCCTCCGTGGCTGCGGACATGACAGCCCGCAGCCGCGGGCTTGTCGAGGTGTGAGATGCTCTTTCTTCAGGGCGGCCTCCGCGCGCCTTTGCGCGTGCTTGAACCTCGGACGGAGTCCTGCAGGTTATTGTTGGATCTTGGATTTACATGGAGTTCCAGCCATGCGTACACGTGAAAACAGGAGCGCCGAAGGCCGTCTACATCACCCCACGCACCCGCAATTACCATCGTCATCCCCGCCATTGTCCGCCTTTCCTCTTCTCCTTCCGTCCCACTGTATCGGCTTTCCTGTTCTTGCTCGCCCCCAAAGCTTCTCTGCGCTGCAAAAGAGCACGCTGCCGAGCGCAGTTTTCGCGAAATTTCGCAGGTTTCGTGCCCTGCCGTGTCTCCAGAGATGCCTCTCCTGAGCGACGAGGGTGTTCAGATTCCGTGCTGCCTCCTAGGTTTCGTGCCCCGTCCACCCGTCCAGCGGAGGCCCCGCCTCAGCCTTATGTGGGGAACTCCGGTAGCATAGTTTTCAAGTTTGGCCCCCAGTCTACTCTTGCACAAGAGACCACAATTCAGACCTCCCTCACCTCCCCAAAAAGAACCCAGGAAGCCTTTGAGGGCCCCAAATCGTTGAACGCCTAACGGAAATGAATGATTTCTGCGTTTCCGCATTTCCCCTTCTATACGATTCCGAGGCTTGAGCAGGGCCTCCAAGGGAGTCCCTGGAAGCAAGACGCGACCAAATTGAGATTACATGAGTTAGCCTATCAAGCCTAGCTAGAACTTGAGTGCGCGCGAAGCGCGCGCGATGGTTCTGGTAACACATGTGTGTGTGTGTGTGTGCGTGTGCGTGTGCGTGTGCGTGTGCGTGTGTGTATATATGTTTGTGTGTGTGTGTATGTGTGTGTGTGTGTGTGTGTGGACGCCAACTAGCTGGCGGGGGCCGCGGCGCGCGCTCAGCCCCTTGCGCGGGGGCTGCGCACGCAGCGGCAGGTGCAGGTGCACGCACAGAAGGTCTTCCAGCGGCTGTTGGCGGCCGTGGAGCTGGCCGCGCTGTTGGCGAGCGGCGAGAGTGCGGCGCCGGGGGGTCCTTTGGTTCGCCGGCACTGGGCAGGTGGGCCGCCGCGGAGAGCAGTCGCCGCCCAGCCCAGGCAGCCGAGGGCGCGGCCGGCGCAAGGGGCGGCGGCCGGCGCGCCAGCTGGGCGCCCGCTTCCCCGGCAGCGCCCCCGTCGGACATGGGCCGCGGGGCGCCGCACGCAGCCTTAGGTGCTCCGGTTAGATCGCCTGCCTCCAGCGCGGCGCGGCGGCCCCGCGGTGGCAGGCCCTGGCGGCCTGGCCATGCCCTGGCTGGGCCGCGTCGCTCCCGCCCCGCGCTGCCTCGCTCCTGCTCGTCCCTGCGGAGAGGGCCGGGGGGGGCCGAAGCGGTCGGGCGTGCACTGATTGCTCCGGCGGCTCGCCACGCTGGCCGGGCCGTCGGACTGAGGCTAATACCAGCAGTTCCCTGTTGATCTGCTTCGACGTGTTTCGCGCCCCTCTCCCTCCCTCTCCTCCCTCGTTTCTCTCCTCGTGCCACGCGGCTTCTTCGCGCTTGTACGTGTGTGTGCGTGAGTGTGTGTGTGTGTGTGTGTGTGCGTGCGTGCGTGTGTGTGTGCGTGCGTGTGTGTGTGTGTGTGTGTGTGTGTGCCTGTGCGCGTCACGCGATCGATGGCAATCACTTTTGGCACGTCCCGCTATTGCTCTCGTTGCATTGGGCCAGCCAGCCGCGAAGTATGTGTGTGTGTTGATGTGTGTGTGTGTGTGTGTGTGTGTGTGTTTGTGTGTGTGTGTGTGTGTGTGTGCGTATGCGCGCGCGTGTGCGTGTGTATGTGTGTGTGTGTGTGTGTGTGTGCGTGCGTGTGCGAGTGCGTGTGTGTGTGTGTGTGTGGGTGTGCGTGTGCGTGTGCGTGTGCGTGTGCGTGTGCGTGCGCGTGTGCGTGTGCGTGTGCGTGTGCGAGTGTGTGTGTGTGTGTGTGTTTGCGTTTGTGTGTGTGTGTGTGTGTTGATGTGTGTGTGTTTACGGTGTGGGCCACTTTGTCCGCCCCCACATGCTCGATTCTTCTCCGCGCAAAGCGGGAAATAGCTAGGAGGACGATGGGGTGGGGGAGGGACCACGGAAAAGGGGCACGGGGGAACGGGTTCGATGGGGAGGGGATGAATATAGTGGGGCCGTGCGTGAACATGGATTCAACATGGATGTGCGGCGTGTTGGGGTTTTTGTTCCTTCCATTGCGCACCGTGACCGTGTGTTTGTTGTGTGGGCTCCGTCCATTTAGCGCACCTTGACGCCTGGAATGTTATCCATATTAGAGGCCTTTGGAGCACTATTTTGCAGAAACTGTCGTATTTTTGGTCAGCATGGTGAGTGTGTAACACACTTGTCTCCATGACGCGCCTTCCGTTTAGATGTGCAAATCAGTCGCCGTCTCTGTTGAAACACTGCTTGTGGCCGTCGCCAGTTGCATGCCTGCCGCAGCCGTCAAAGCGCTCCAGCCGCTTTGCCAGTGCTCCGCTCTAAGCGACAGGCCTTCCTGGTCAACGACCAGCAGATTCTCCCCGCGGATCTCACATTCCACGGCCGTGCGATCCTCGCCCGCACCGAAGAGGCGACTCGCCGACCCGCGTTCGGGCACTCGGGGTCCGCGTGCTCCCCGAGCCCTCACCGCAGCGGCCGATGGCCTCCTGCGGGGAGCCTAGCAGTGGCACCGTGCCCGCCTCGCAGTACGGCGCCGCGGCGGCTGCTGGCGGAGGACGCCTCCCCGCCGGCCACCGCGGCTCCGCCCGCTCCGCCCCTGCGGCGCCGCTCGGCGGCGCGGCCGCGGCCCCGCAGCCTGCCCTGGCGGCGGCGGTGGAGTCCTGGCCCGCCGGCGACGACGCAGGCTTGCCTCTGCTGCCGGAGCTGATCGACAGGATGGGCTTCGGCATGTTCCAGGTGTCGGGGGCCCCCACACTGTGCGGTGACCACGCCGTGCGGCGAGTCGGTGGGGACTCGGGGTCCGCCGCACGGTTTTGGGACTCGGGTCCCTCTCCGAGGATGTCTCGGGCGACAGGGGCCTCCAGGGTCCCAAAACCGTGCGGTGACGGACCGTGCGGTGAGATCTTGGGGGATCTCGAGGTCACCGCACGGGTCTGTCACCGCACCGCTCCGGGACTCCACAGAGGTGAAGGCCCTCTGTGGTGGGGGGTGCTGGTTCGCGGACGGTGCAGAGCTCCTCCTGATCAGCGCGGTGACAGACGCGGTGGCCCACGGCTGGTCACTGGGCCCGGCCCAGCGGGGCCTGGTCGTCACGATCGTGTACATCGGCATGCTTGTTGGCAACCTGGCGAGCGGTCCCTTAGGGGACGCCCATAGGGGAACGAAGAATGGCACAAACATAAGAACTCGGAGGTCCGCGCTGATTTCTCGGATCTGCGCTTGACCCCCCTCCCTGGCGCACGGAGCGCGCCAGGGGCGGCTCTGGAGGCGCCGCCAGGGGGGTCCAGCGCGGATCCGAGAAATCCGCGCGGACCTCCGAGTTTTTATGTTTGTGTCACTATTCGTTCCCCTAGCCCATGGGCGAAGGCACCTAATCTTCTCCTCGTTCCTTGGCATACTGGTCTTCAGTATGGCGAGCTCCGTCAGTGTTGGCTTCTGGAGCCTGTGCGCCGCGCGCTTCTGCGTCGGTGTCTCGTTCGGCATCGGCCAGCCGGCGTGGAACACCCTTGGTGCGGAGGTCGCGCCCGCCAACCACCGCATCACGATGTCGTTCATCTCGCAAGGCTTTTTCATTCTTGGGGAGCTCTACAGCGCGGTGCTGCTGATGGCTGACGATCCGCACATGAAAGACCTGCATTGGCGGTGGCTGCTGCGTGTGGGCGCCATCCCGGCGGCAGTGTTCGGGATTGCCTCCCTCGCCTTCTTGCATGAATCGCCTTCGTTTCTGGCCGTTTCCGGGCAGAGCGAAAGGGCGAAGGAAGTGTTGGAGTCGATGCGCCACGACAATGGGCACCCAGCCGACATTCTGCGGCGAGCGAGGGGGGGAAGTGAGAAGGAGAAGGCCTTTTAAGGTGGCGGGGCTCCTCAGAAGCCCTGGGCCTTCTGAGAAGCTTCCCGTGTCTTCGGGGCAGGCCTCGAACGCTTGTCAGAAGCACGGAGGATTTCCGAGCCGTCTGAGAAGGCCAGCCCCTCCTCACTGCCCCCCCGGGCGAGCCGCCGAGACATGCCGGTGGAGTTCGTCCTTGTTACTAGGACGAGCCAGCTGCAGCGCCTGGCCAAGAAGCTGCGCGCGGTTCGCCGCCTCGCCGCGCCGTCCAAGAGCGACCTCCTCGGGCACGTGCGCGTTGTGTTCGGCCCGAGCCTGTGGCCGTCCACTCTCATCGTGATGTACTCGTGCTTCGTTCTGAACTTCCTGACCTTCGTCGAAGGAGAAAACACGGCATGCACACACACACACACACTTTTGATGCCCCTGCGCGGATCTCTTGGATCTGCGCTTGACCCCCCTGGCGCCTCCGGCGCGGCCCCTGGCGCGCGGAGCGCGCCAGGGAGGGGGCCTCGGCGCAGATCCAAGAGATCCGGACGGAGCGTCAAAAGCTTACGTTGGTGCCGTTCTTTGTCCCTCCGTAATCGGCTGCCTCTACGCCTTCCCGCAAGTGCTCGCGAGCAGCGACGGGCCAGATTCGAACGCCGCGTTCGAGCTCTTCCTCGGCGCACTGGCAGAGGTGCCGGGGCAAGTGCTAGGTCTCAGGAGGGACAAAAAAAACACAGACACAAATATTCGTCGATTCCCAGAACATATGAGAAATATGGGAGGTGTAGGGGGAGACGAACATCCAGACCAGGTGGAGAATATACGGATCCCTGAGATTTGTGCCTTTTTCTTTGCGTTTGCCTGGGCTCCTTCAAGGTCTCCTGTGCGGCTCGTACCTCACCCGCAAGCTCTCCATGAAGGTATACCTCGGCCTCGCGTCGCTGTCGCTTGGGTCCTTCGTTTTTAGCCTGCTGCACCCGGGGGGATCTGCGAAGATCTTCCAGATGGCTGGCTTTTACGGCATCAAGTGCTTCGCGAGGATCGGGTTCCTTGTCGTCTACCAGTACTCCATCGAGATCTACCCGACGGAGGTGAGGGCAACGGGGGCTGCCGTCAGCATGGGGAGCGGCCGCATCGGGGGCATCGTGTCGCCCCTCGTCTTCGAGGCCATCGTGAGCTTGACCGGCGGCTTCTCCATGTTTTTCTGCCTGCTGGTCGGTGCCACGTCGTTGAACTTTCTGCTCATTCCGTTGCTTAGGTACGAGACGTTTGGAATGGCGTTGAGGGACGACGTCGACGATGGGGACGAAGTGGAGGCGGGCAGTTCCGAGCAAGCCGATGCAGAGGCCGAAGAGGTGGCACCGCTGCTCGCTTCCAAGCCAGGCAGACACCGCGCCAGCTGCAGCACTGTCTTCTGCACCGAGCCCCTCATCCCAAGCTTCTGAGCAGGACTGCCCGCGGGTTGTGCCCACTGGTACAGTCAACCCTCTCAGTAAGGATGAGCGACTTCCCAAGGGTACCCTTGCATCCTTGCCTCTTCAGTCATCTTCGGCCCATCCTCAACCACTTTCGAAGGCCAGCCCCACTCGAAGAGCCTCGGCATGGGCGTCCAAGGCCTTTGCATCCCCCCAATATCCCCCCTGCAGGGGGACACGCCCGACTCGAGTCTCTCCTCCCGCCCCCGCCTCCCCCTCCCCTCCCGGCATGATGATGCGCGCTCCGCCCGCCGCCCGGGAGGCGGAGTGCGAGATCCACGTGACGGACAAGCCGGAGACCCGGCTGGTGGACGGCACGCCTCACTGCATGGCCATCGTCCGCGGGGTGCCGGAGCGCACGAGGTCCGTTCAGGATGGGAAAACACACACAGACACAATCAATCGTCGATCACCAAGAAAATATGGGAAGGGGGGGAAGACAGAAACCCTCAAAATATGAGAAAATATGGGGAATCCTGTTATTTGTGTGTGTGTGTGTGTGTGTGTGTGTGTGTGTGTGTGTGTGTGTGTATGTATTTGTGTGTCCCTAAGTCCACGAGTGATGCGCGATGCGCGAGGCTGCCCAGGCAGGCAGTAAGCTCTGCCCTACCACCGGATCAGTCAGCGCCGCCTTCCTTTCAGTCGGTCCTGTCCCTCTACAGGGGGAATATGAACAAAAAGTAAAAAATAATCAAAATAATAGTCTGGGGACTATTTTTTTGGACATATTCTGAGCAGTTCTGGAGTATTTTTTATTCTTCGTCCAAAATCCCCCTGAAGGGGGACAGGCCCGACTTAGTGCTGTTTGTCATCGTCCTGGGGGGACGTCGGAGGGAGATGGCTGCTCTCCTGGATGTTTGGCCGAGGCAGGCGTCGCCTGCGCTCAAGAGCGAGCTGGGCTGCTGCCAGCGGGGCTCGGGGCGCGCCTCGGCAGTCCATCAGTGCATAGATCCGCGCCGTCGAGAGCTTCGGGGGCGCAGCTACCCTGCCAGCGTGCTCGAGACGACCGATTTTACGAGGAAGATCCTGGAGTTAGGTCGGGCCTATCCCTCTACAGGGGGATTTTGGACGAATAATAGAAGATAGTAGAAAAATGCCCCAAAATGGCCGAGAATGGTCAACAAAAATTGTCCCCAGAGTATTTTTTGACTATTTTTGAATATTCCTCCTGTAGAGGGACAGGCCCGACTTAATCCTGGAGGCCTCGCGCGGCGCGCAATAGTTGTGCTGTCCAGCCACACACGTGCGCCTCGTAAGATGCTGGTCGGACGCTCGCGCGGCGGTGCTCCGACGTGGGTCCGGCGTGAACCCGGCGTGACCCCGGCGTGACTCCGAAGTAGCTCCGAAGTAAGTGCAGCGTGGGCCGATGTAACGTGTGTCTGAAGTTGCCACGCGAGGCCTCCAGGCTTTTCATCACAATCCAACCGCGGCGGGGGATGTGGCTTGGTTTCCGAACTTGTCCGGCTGCCCGCGGCAAGTCCTGCCGCCGCACCAACCCAGTTTCTCTGGGCGAGCCGTAAGATGTGGCACGCTCTTCCTCGTCGTGTCGGGGTGTCTCGCTTTGTGTTCGTCGTCGCCTTCCTCCCTTCCTCTTCTTTCCGGGTCCTCTCTCTGGGCTTTTTGGTGGCCTCTCGGGGGCTTCTTGGAGGCATTTGGGTGGAGATTTTCGGAGGACCCGGCAGGTCTCCAGACAAATGACCAAGGGGAGGCGGCTGAGGAGGAGGCGGAGGAGGAGGAGGAGGAGGAGGAGGAGGATGTGGAGGAGGAAGGCGAGGAGAGCAAGAGGAGGAGGAGGAGGAGCAGGAGGAGGAGGAGGAGGAGCAGGAGGAGCAGGAGGAGCAGGAGGAGGAGGATGAGGAGGAGGAGGAGGAGAGGAGGAGGAGGAGGAGAGGAGGAGGAGGAGGAGGAGGAGGAGGGGGAGCGGGAGGCAGAGGTGGAGGCAGAGGCGGAGGCTGAGGCGGAGGCTGAGGCGGACGCGTAGGTGGAGGCGGAGTAGGACGACGAGCGCACGGCTGGATGAGTTCGAATCTGCCACAACCCCTACTGCAGTGAGAGGACACCATGCCCCCGAATCTCTGACCTTCAACGCTCCTCTCGCATGAGCTGGGCTAGAGGAATGCCAGAGGAGGAGCAGGCGGAGGAGGAGAGAGAGGCGGCGGAGGAGTAGAAGGAGGCGGAAGAAGAGGAGGAGGAGGCGGATGTGGAGGAGGAGGAGGAGGATGACGAGGGGGAGGAGGAGGGAGAGTAGGAGCAGGCGGAGGCGGAGTCGGCGGTGGCGACGAAGAAAGAGGCGGAGGCGCATGTACAGTAGTAGTAGTAGTAGTAGTAGTAGTAGTAGTAGTAGTAGTAGTAGTAGTCGTAGTAGTCGTAGTAGTCGTAGTAGTCGTAGTAGTCGTAGTAGTCG